ACAATATCACATTAAATTAACTCAAAATGCCCTTATTTTTGAAAAAATATGTCAGAGAATTTTTTGTCAACTTACCATATGGTTTTGTCCCTGTAAATCTGTGAAATTGCCTTCTATGGCTGTATAAACTGCATAAAATTAGGTCACTTATTTTTACTGATAAGACCTCAAACACACAGAGGTCTATGTGCCATTTTCTGGGAAATATTTTAGTCTAAAAATCACAATCACCAAGGGTTATTTTTTTCAACGTCAGTCTTGTTACCAAAGTAAGTATCATGAGAAAAATACCACGGATTTTTGATCAGAGACAAGTTTATTTAATGGTTTTTAAACCATTATCTCATTGGTGTCATGTATTTTCAGCATTTCTACTCACAAGTGGAGTTTTTAACAAAAATGTTTGAAATGGTCAATTTTGTTACCATCAACTCTGTTACCAAATAGGGTAACAGAGTTGATGGTAACAGAGTTTTCAGTTCTAAATTATTATGGTCCTGTCAATTCTGTTACTAACACCAACTCTGTTAGCTAACAGAGTTGACATGTTTATGACATACTTTCATAAAAAACAAGAAAAACTGTTGTCTAGAGCAACATATACATTGTTGGTTGACTTCTGCTGTGATTTAGTATTACTGACCAATTTTATTTCTAAAAGAATGATGGTTTCCAATGAGTTTTAATGAAAAGTGTTTGCCAATATGCAAACAACTCTATGAAAAGTTGAGTATGTTTTTATTTATTTTTTTTAAAATGTATTTTTAAGTAAAACATCTCAATTTAAAGTATTATGGTAGTAGGACACTTGTTTTCACATAAAAATATTTTAGTCTGCTAGAATTTATTTTTATTTTTTTCACTCACTGTCTATATTGTCCGTAGCAGAGTTGACATAACATACCGAGACACATACGTTTTTTATCTGAGAAAATATTATAAAATATGTAGTTAATGTTTGGCAATTACATATTTTTTTTAAGTTTAATGTCTTTTCAATAGACTACCTAAAAGACTTTTTCATAAATATTTTTTAAGTGCCAAATGTATCTCCAATTATAGAATCACCCATTTTGTGCAAGGACCCAGCGCAGCTCGCGTAAGGAATACTGTCCATGTGGTATCAGAAAACTATAACTTTAAGGCAATCAGAGCTTCTTTTTTTTAAGTTTTACCCCTAAATGTGAAGATATTGTAAATTACAATGATGAATGCTTAGCAGCACACCAAAAATGAAGTTATCCTAATTTTTTCCCCTATGCAGATATATATATTCTACATTTGAAATAGAAAACCAGTTCTTCTTACAAATGTAATGTTATTTACGAACACAACTACGCATGCCTTAACATTATGTATGCTGCTCAAATGTAAATGTTTCCGTTGGAAATATCTGTTGGTTGTATTCCTGCAATGCCTCCATTAAATCATACTATTACATGAAACACAGCGCCTTCAGATTTGTGACTCTCACATGGACATGTTCTGGGATGGCTCTCTCTTAAATCACCTAGCAAAAGTCATCGTGTCGTAAAAACAAGCACATGATAATATTCCTTGGCCTACCTTCATTAAATCCTTTGGTCGCAACATATTCTACAGGCATCTGAGCGCTGCAGTCCCCAACTTCTTACATATGAAATCTCAATTCACGGCAATGACATTGATCTGAGGCGCGCCCCCCAGTGGTAAGAGGCGGTCTCGACTCACGACAACAACAACAAAAAGCGTAGCATGAGCATTCCCACCATAGGTGGTGAGATGCTGCAACAAATGACTAAGGGAAGGTCCGCTAACACACGTTTCAATGCTTTTTCAGCCTCCTCCTGTAAAGTCCTAGTTAATAACCTTGGTCTCAGACGTTTTATGGCACTGCACTCCAAATGGTCCAGACGAATCCGCCCTTTTATGGCCAAGTTACTGGAGCAACTGGGAGGATGTGCAGCAATCAAAGTGGAATTCCTGGGAGCCCAACAGGATGCTCGGTGTAGGTGAAGCCCTCATCCAGGACCCTTATTAGCTTATGACAGGCCATTCGGGTTGTTTTCAGGGGCCCGGCGGTGGAAATAAAGCTGTCTGCATAGACCCATCTTTTACACATCTGGACTGAAATGAATTCATTTGTTTCTTTATTTATTAATTGTAAACGGGTTTCTCCCCAGACAAATGAAAGAATATATTTTTTAATAAAATCATGGCAATTGTATGATCCCTGGGGGCCCCGGGTAAAGCAACATTCATTCAGGACCTTTACTAGCTTATTCAAGTTGTTTTCAGGAGACTGGTGGTCTATACGAACCTTAAACACTAATTTTGATTAACTTTTGTCATTATTTCCGAAAGAGTAAAAATATCGTCTTCTCACATCTAAATTACACTATTTTAGCCACATATTTTTGCTCCGGCGCCGTTTGCTGCGAGCATATTTAAAAACAAAATGTGCGCATGTATCCGAATCAAAGTGATCCAAACAAGCATGCTATATCAACCATAAGCTTTTCCTCTTCCGCCCCTCGCAAATCAAGGGAGTCTTTTTTTAACAAGTATCAGATAATAATTGCAGCGATTCCTGTTTCACTATCAAATAACATCAGACCTATCATGACCGTGATACCATCCACGAGCTGTGTGCTGGGGCATAAAAACAGATCAGGTTATGTTTCACTTGGAGATATTGACCTAATTCATTAGCGGTTTGCCCTTTTGCAGGAAGCTGAAAAATAACCCACGTTTATGGTTCAGAATTTAAGGACATTTAAACACAATTAGATTTTTTTTTTAAAAAAGAAGAAGAAGAAGAAGAAAAGAAAAGCAGAAGGAGAAAAAAAACTCCGTCAAATGATCACTATCAACTTTATCATAATGAGGACTGTTATGACTCCAAAGCATATAAAACGGTTTCTGGTTACGACGGGCGGAGGGCGGGGAGTGGGAACCATGACGGCCAAAGTTTTGTTTGAGAAACAAAACTCAAATTCCCCTTTACGGAAAGTGCGTGCGTAATTTCCGTAAAGGGGAATGTGAAAAATAAAATAAAATAAAATAAAATAAAATAAAATAAAATAAAATAAAATAAAATAATTGAGACATTGCAAAAAAATATTTGTAGTCTTATTTCTATGGGGTAAAAAAAGTTTTTTATTTTTTAGAAAATTACAGTAATTTGGTTTCATTTTTCTGTGCCTACATAACCTTAATAATAATAATAATAATAATAATAATAATAATAATAATAATAATAATAATAATAATACAGAGCTCCGGATTATTTAAGATTTTTAGATTTTCAAAATAATAAAGATAAAAACAAGTCCTTTGTCCTGATTTGGTGTGAGGGCGCTCGGAAGCAGTCTTTGTTTTGTTTTGTTTTGTTTTTGTTTGGGACTTTTTCAGAGCAGAGGGTTTGTGCTGTAGTACTGTAAACGGTCTCTGTTCAGTTTCTTCTCTTTCATCCTCCTGTTCTGAAACCAGATTTTAACCTGGCGGTCCGTCAGATTAAGCATCCGGGAGAGCTGCAGTCGCTTCTCCTTGTTGATGTAAACGCTGAAGAAGAACTCCCTCTCCAGCTCCCTGATCTGGTACTTTGTGTACGGGCATCTCTTTTTGCGCGTCCTCTGGCCACCTAGAACATAACAATAAAAACAAACAAACAAAAAAAAAAAAGTCAAAACCATTGATTCGTCCAATGGCAACAGCGTGAAATTATCGGGCTGCTTCTTTCGACATGACCACCGGTCATGGTGATCCTGCAGTACACGAGTTCTGGAGTTCAAGTGTCCCCCCCGTTCTCAGGCCTGCAGGAGCAACATGCGTAAATAAAGATTGCACCTGAGAGTCAAGCTTCTTAGGCATATTGAGAGCTGAGAAATCATACTGAACACGCAAACTTATATTTTTTTTATAAAAAAAACATTAATTCAACTTAAAAATTGATTATAGACATCATAAACAAAGAGATCTCTCTCACATTTTAGTCTTGAAGCTGTTGCAATTCAGGCTATCAGAAACTCAATTTACCAAATTTATTCCAGCTCAGTGAAGATTATTTATACAGCGGCCACCCATAGCAAATGTTATATGGCGGGGTTTTTTTTACATGACATGCACATCCCATTGGCTTTCAGTAATACGAAACAATAAAATACACGTTTTTACAGGGAAATGAGCGGTAAAAGGCACATGTTTCCCGGAAAAAAAGTAGAAATCTTTCTCAAAAATCTTAACTCAAACTTTACGGCAACGTCTTCTCGGCCAATTTCAATCCCAAGCACGTGATGTTGTAGTTTATAACATAGTTTTGTTACCGAGACCTCCATAAACCTTGCGTGCTTATAAAACTGCATATAAAAAGCTTTAAGAGCATGCAGCAGTTAGATTTTTTCTCTCTCTCTCTTCTTCTTCGTCCTCCTCACTCACTGCTGCCGCTCCTGCTCTGCTTCTCCTCGCTGTGGCCGGATGGTGACTCCGGGCTGCAGCTCTCCGCCGTGTCCGACCCCGGGTGAGCCTGAGCCGGGCTCGTTTTGCCGCCTCTGTCTGAGTCCGCTGCAGCCGGAGCGGCGCCGCCCGCCCCGCTCCCGTACGCCGTGTCAAAGAACTGATCGAACGCCTGCGGCAAGACGCCGTTCCTGCCGACGTTACCGCAGAATCCCGGGGTCGGGTTCGAGGAGCCGGAGTGGCCGCCTTTCACCAGGATCTCTGGCCCCCTGGAGGTGGGGGCTGCCCAGCCGTCCCGGTGCGCGACGTCCTCGGCGTAGCAGTGCGAGAGACTCCCCCTGGTGTGGTGCCATTTACTGGAAGCATCAATGCCATAGTCTCTGAAAGCCACGTCTCTCACTGACGGAACCTGTGTGAGCGCTGAGGACTGGTACGAGTAAGTGACGGGGCAGGAGGACTGGTTCTGGGTTAAATAGTGAGGGAGACCCGAGAAGTCCGCTCCGGAGACGTAATAAGTGCAGCTTGGTAGATACATACTGGAGCCAGGCATCCGTTCATCAAAATCCATATTCTGCTGCTGGGGTCGTTCTACGGCAATAATCCTCGCATTGTTCCTGCGCGACGCTGCGCTCCAGCCACTTTGAGACAGACTGCTGGAGCAGAAAGCCTTAGACGTACAAGCTGACGTGGGGGATCCATCTCCATCCATTCCTGAGGGCCAAAGCCATGTGACCACTGGCACAATATGACAAATAGCCTACGTCTCGACGTGTGTTGGCTATATGAGTCAAATAGTTTTTCAGCTGCAAAAAGCCGGCCTTCGCATATAGGAACGGGAAACCACCGAGAGTTTTGGAGCATATTGGACTTGTCTCGTGAGTTCGCATGCGGATCTCCTGTCAGGGTTGCTTCTGTCTGACTTCCACGTAATCACGACACAATGGGCAGCTTCACAACAAGCTTTTTTTAAGTTTTTGTTCAAAATCCCAGCACCTTACCTTCACCCTCACCT